TGAAGCTTGTGAAATCCACATTGATACCATTGGGCTGCAGGGTTCCCAAGCGGAATATGAGTTGCTGTTCCTGCAACCTTCGGGTGGCATCGTTGTGGCACTGCAGGAGGCCCAGGATGGACATGTCGTCTGAGGAATGGGAGGGGGAGTTGAAATGGTTCACGACTGGGAGGTGACTTAGATGTTTGTTCACCATGCCCCAGCCAAGTATTGGAAAGTGGGATTGGCATAATTGATTTTTTGGGGGCTGGTGTAGGCTTAATGGGCTGAAGGGCATACTTGCCCCCATTTTTTAGCCCTCTATAATTATATTGAGTGGGTCCAGAAGAGATGAACCAAGTGGTAAGGTTTGGAGCAGGGGCGGGACTCGAACCTGTGGCCTCTGGGTGGGCGTGATCACGTGATAGGGCGGACACGAACCTTTGGGTGGGCGTTGATGGACGGACGCCTCCACCAATCGGACGCAGATAGGAAATTTTTTTCCCCCCGAGACACGCCCATGCCGTCACGGGATTCCCACGTGAGCGACCGTCGTCGACGGGGAGGCGGGCTCCGTCGGAACAACCGACCAATCGGCGAGCAGAGACGGGCGACTAACGGACGGGCAAAAGCAGCGAGTGGATCGGACGGGAAGGCGGTCTGACCAATGAGTTGAAGAATAAGATGACGGGCATCCATAGTAACCAATCGCACACAGAGTGCGGTCAAAGAGGCGGGGCAGATGGGTGAAAGGCGCACGACAGTGGCGCGGGATTGGACCAATTGGAGGGGCGGGCGTTAGGGAACAACGACCATTCGGGGCGAGAGGACGTGATGATTGACGGCGAGGTTGACCATTCGGGAGCGTCGCAGGAGTAGGCGGGGACTCAACGTTCTACCCAACGGGAGGACGAGGCCTGTGACCGACGGCGCGATAGCCCAATGAAACGAGGGTAAGGCGGTGGCGATGAGACAGCGACCAATGGTCTGGCGGACTCATTGTGATGGACTGTTGCCAGCACCAATGGAAATACGGAACGCGGGACGGGCGGTCCAATGGGAAGGTAGAAGAGGTGATTAACAGGCAGGGGGCGGGGTAAGGTTGGAGGGCGGACTCGCAATGGCGGCGGTGGGCCGGTTCCTGGCGGCGGTGACTCTGGCGGCGGCCCTGAGCCCGGGGACAGGGACAGATCAGGTCCCGGTGCTGGCTTGGTCCACGGAGAGGTGACTACATTCCTCCCCCGACCCCGAAAACAGGGAGAGCACGGGGTTAGATACAGAGTCAAGCTGCCTCAGGGCTATCCCCCTAATGGAGGAAGAGGATGGGCTGAATGGCCTCCTGTTTCCCCGTGTATAGGATGGGGCCGAATGGCCTCCTGTCCCTCTGTGTACAGGATGGGGGAAGGGGGGGCCGAGTGGCCTCCTGTCCCTCTGTGTACAGGATGGGGGATGGGGGATGGGGGGGGC